ATGACTTCCCAGCTTAATCGCTCGGTCCTTCGTTTGTTGTGAGACATGAGGTCTTACGCTTTGGTAAGGGCTCCATTGCGCATGGCTGTCGAGCCGGTACTGACCATCGCAAATAGTCGATGGTGGGGTACCCGACCAATATGACAGCGTTGCCAGATTTCGCCTAGCGTCACGCACGGCAAAGATACAGCGTTACAGTATATTCAGATAAGAGATAGACCGGACATAAACAAGACCACGTGATCATCGAACGCTGTAACATTCGGCAGGGACGTATTAAGAGTCACGCAGTACATATTTTAGATAGTAGATGCTGCCTTGCGTAACTTTGTAGTAAATTAGCACAATTCAATGTGTATACGATTGGTGATGGATATAGGATCATGTGGGGGTGGGGTAAGAAATCTATAATGATGTAAATATACATAAGGGTTTCAAAATTTTCGCTTCGATTTCCAGCTTCGGATGCCGCCTGATGTTTGGTGAAATACAGTCGAATATAATCTCAAAATGGCGTTTAAATTAGCCTAAATTAAAAATAATCGTATATCTCTTAAAATTGCTTTTAGAATATTGATTAGTATATTTTTTGATTTCTAGGTAAATATGTAACCAAATTAAAACGTTCAAAACATAAAAAATGTGCATGGTTGAACATTGTCAGAAAGTAGATTCTTGAATAGGTTTTGCCAAAATGGGTTCAAAATGTCAATAATTAATTAAAAAATACAGTAGCTTTATAATTACTTATAACTTACCGAATTCGATGAACGACATCTTTTATTGGAAAGATGAGCTTGATGAGCTTTCATCATCGCTACTGCCTGAAGCACCAACGTCAATAATGAATGGCTCGACTTGTTCCTCTAAAATATTGTCCAGTTCCCACATTCTCTTTTCAACTTTGTCTTTCACGTGCTTAATACAGTTTTCCCATTTTTGCGCTGTTACTAATTCTAGTGCTTCTTTGAAAAGTCCTTTGAGGTCACAAAATTTAAAAGTTGTATTGTGCTTAGCTATATAATTTTTAACCTTTAACGGAGCACAGTTTTATTTTGACTTGCTGCCATTTCGTCAATGGCGTATTTTTGATATTCCGCCTTGTGATCCTTGACAATTCTTAATAATTGTACTTTCAGCATTGCTTCTTCAAAGTTGATATTTTCCGAGCGGAGCCAATTTTGAACATCAACTTTCCTTGAAGCCGTTGTTGGGACCTTCTCCATTCTTCGAGAATGATAAGGCGCATTATCCAACACAATTACTGCGTTTTCCTCTAAGTTCGGTAAAATTTTTGAAAACCACTGTTCAAACGATTCGCCATTCATTTCCTCGTGGTAATCTCCAGTTTTCTTAGACTCAAAGCACCACAGACCGTCAACAACAAATCCATCCTCACTGCCAATATGGCAGATAATGAGCCTTTTCCCTTTACCTGGAAATCGAAGTACTAACTGGTGTAGATTTATTTCAATAAGCGAACCTTTTTCAAATGTTTTCATCACATTCAGCGAAAAAACATTGAGACATGAGTATCAGATTGCTATAATTGGGATTATTTAGTCATATTGAAAGAAAGAATATTGAACGTCGTATGATTACTCAGCGCTTCACAATTTAATTTAAAGTTATAAACCTTTAAAAAATGAATGATCAGGAACCTGAAATACGCGCAAATATTAATATTAACAAATTATAACTTTATAAAGCTTAAAGTATGAATTAAAATGATTGGAAATATCAGGAACGGTACACAATATAAAACTTAGTAACTTTTTTTAAGTTTATAATATTCGACATATTTTAAGATTATATTAAAAAATTATTGAAATATCGAAAACACATAAAAACATGGCTTAAAAAAGTTCTAACAAATGAAAATGACAATAAAATATCCACGCATTTTATCGAAAGTTATAAAAGTTTTGTTACTTGTAATATGTTTTATCTGCCCCCTGGAATTAATGTTTAGAACCTTGTTCCCAAGGTTTGAAAAACATCCGATTGTTGTCTATTACTCGTATTTACCTGCTGGATTTTTTAATCCGGTGGACAGTCCATCTAGAAAGGCCCTCCTGGATGAAGTTACAGAATCATCAACCCATACTTTACTTGTAGTGTGTCCTGCGTTTACCCACGTTTCATCAAGGTAATAAATCTTCCTGTTTTGATTTCTATATTTCCCAATTTTTGTTAAATAATCCCTCCTCCATAGCACAATTTCTTTTCTATCCAGTAGTAAACTATTACGACCCCGTTTTTGCCATTTGAAATTTAAATGCTTCAGTAACGCATGGAAAGTTGATCGTTTGAAATTTGGCAACGTTGTATCTCCATTTACCTCCTGCAGTACTTTATCTATAGTAGGTATTTCATTCCTAAAGAAGAATTCATGCACTTCCCTCCTAATCGCATGCTTATCAGCTTCATCCAATGATTTAACAATACTTTTGCGATGTTTACTGGTCATTGGCTCAGAAAAGGTGTGATTTTTTTGTATTGTCTTAACACATTAAACACTGATGCGCGACACACCCCAACTTTGTGAGAAACCTTCACAACAATTTCTTTGATGGTTGATGCCTCGTTCTCCTCGCGCTCGATCTTATATAAATATATTCAAAATGACCTCTTTCATTTCTGCACTCAGGTGTCTTTTTTTAGAGCGTTTCCTAGGTGGACTACAGGAGTTTACAACTTCATCGGCAGTATCTGTACTACTAGGCATTTTGCGCAAGGAGTTGATAACAATAACAATCAATAACAAGGTATAACAATAACAACGACAAACTCAACAACTTAATAAGATAACAAACGAAAACGTCCAAAGAAATATCAAATTGCAATGATGCACACGACATACGTAACACGTCTGAACCTGAATGTGACTCTGCCTTGATACGACTGCTCTGCCGCTCGGCATAGGCATTTAATTGCGAATTGACTAATGAGGGCTCCTGTTTTACGTCGAGACGGCGGCGTTAGCGTGAAAATCACCCGAACCTTTTGTTTACATCCGGTCTATCTCTTATCTGAATATACTGTAGGAACCCTATTTTTGAGACAATCTTCGTATAAAGTCACTGACTTTTTTTAGCTTCGATCCAGACCCAACGGTGAGGCACACTTGGTTTACACTGATAATAGGCGGTGCAGTGACGTATTTATCATTGTACGCCGTAAACCAGACGCAAGTGCAACGCTACCTGACAGTTAAGGATCTGAAAGCGGCACAGAAGGCACTGTGGTGGAATTGGCCGATTTTAACACTGCTGAGTTTGAGCACATCATTTTCGGGCCTTGCGATATACTCGAGATTTTACAAATGTGATCCTTATGATGCTGGCTATATTACTAGTTTCGACCAGGTGAGTGACTATTTGGGTTTGCCGTGATAAATTTTTAACTGATAATTTTTAAGGAGTTAAAGAGCCATATACAGGGTGTTTCAGTTTATTGTTGCATAAGTTTAAGATTCGATAGAACTTTTAAAATTAATGCATAAAGTCTATATAAACATGGGTCGAAAAATGTGTGGCTTCCGAAATACAGGGTGTTTAAATTTACTTTCTAAAATAGTTTTTTTTTAAATATTTCGAACATTATTTGATATATAACAGTGAAAATTGGTATGCAAGGGTTTTTTGGTACGACAAAACGAACCATGGGCATAGTTTTACTGTAGCCGCTAGAGGGCGCTCTCTGCTGTACCTGTAGTGTATTAAAATGACCGAAAATTTTTTCTTAGTACAATTTTTTGCTTTTTGAATAAAAAAACTGATTCTCCGCACTTTTCAACATAAAAAATCTCTCTTGTGAGTTTTCGCTATAGTTAGCCGTTTTTGAGATATTTCGATTTTTAAGGTTCGCTGCATTTTTAATTATTTATGGGAAAATAATATTTTTTTTTACATTTTCGGTAAATCATCATCAGCAGCATTTTGGCGCCCACTGTTGTGCAAACAGTTATCCTTGTGCGTTTTCATAATCCCTGTTTAATTAGGAAATTTTGAAAAATTTTCATCAGTTTTTTTTCAAATAAAAATTGTGCATAAGTTAACGAGTAATCTTCTAAGTGTTATACCATTTTGGAATCGTTATTAAATGCGCCAACTTTTAAGGTTACTTGCCAAACTATCGTAGTACATTTTTTTCCAGTACAGCCAGTTAAAGTTGAGCAAAGTTTTACTTTGGAATACTTGGTTGGGAAATAAGTGGCAATTTTTCCTGAACGAGAAAAGTTGGCAGTAAGGTTGAGACACCAGTTTGAAGATGCATTATTCATCATTACATTGTAAAAATAAAATCCAAAAAAAGTTAATATTTGTAGTAACAGGAGTTGACAGACTGCCGTAGGGTGTGAAATTTCCATATCTTTTTCAAAGACCTATAATTTTCAAAACACATACATAAAATTTTTTCAAATATTTTTCTGATAGCTGTTATGGCTTTGCCTATCACCCAGTTTCGGCTTGACGTCGACTTCTGGGACACGCTGTATGTTGAAGGTCCCTTACTGGTAAAATGATTAAATTTAAACCTTGAATTTTTGCTACTGTAAAATTCCATTCTACGAATATTATGTTTGCCTTACAGTTAGAAACGAAGCGTTCTTTATGAAACTGTTTCCCTGTTGAAAAAACAAATTACTTTCAGCTCATGCCATATTACGTGGTAGACACAATGGGTCATATACCGGGCCTGTCAGGAGTTTTTGTAGCAGGAATATTCAGCGCCTCGTTATCTACAGTGTCTGCAGCTGTTAACAGTTTGGCAGCTATTACTATCGAAGATTATTTAAAGGTAAATCCGGTAATATCATTACAAGTTACTTATACAGGGTGGCCCAACGACAAGGCCGTACCCCCTTTTGTGACTATGCATTTTGGAAAAAATCCTCGGACACGTCAATTTTGATTTCTAGGGGGGCGTCCTTTCATCTATCATTTTTAAATCTCCATTTTTTTAATTTTTAGATTCTCCATGAGGTTTTTAGTAACTTTTGTACCACATTGATTTACCATTTTATAGCAAATTAATTTTTACTGTAAGTTGTTTTTTGTTTTTTTAATACTCGGAGACTTGTTTTTTTTTTATTTTAAAGTAAAGTCTTGTTACTATGGGAGCTATATCAATTATTATTTTTACGATATCATTCCTTATTATCACAATTTCTAGAATTTTATTATAAACTCATAACCATTGAAGATAGATACAAACTTTATTATACGAAATTTTATCTTAATGGTGAATCTAAAAATTGAAAAAAGATGTACAAATGTACAAAGAGCATCACAAATAAGGGTGCCCTTTTCGTTGGACCGCCCTGTATACTGGATACCAAAATCGTGCCTCGCTATTTTGAAAGTTTGTTTTCGAATGATAACGATGAAATTAACATTTTTTCATAAACATTTTCTTCGGGATCTCAAGGCAAAGTCGCATATTTGTGGTTCGAAAAACAAGGTCAAGATGAACTCTCGAAACATGTGGGTCATTAAATTTGACGCCCAAGGCATTTCCAGATATTTCAAAAAATAAACAACTTTAACCTATACTCTAGGCGCTGAAGAAAGAAACTAAACCCAAACAAATACACGCATATTGCTCGTGAGTGAGTGTTTAGGCGCAGGAGACATTACAGGACCGCATCAAGATATTATGGGTAGTCATCAAAAATTTCATACAAGATAATTATTATCTTTTACAGTAAATTTCAGTTAGAGATTCACAAGTATTATTATTCGACGCCACGTATTGCTTTATGTTGGCCCAAATCAGCTTAATAGGGTTCAGCTCACAATGGTAGGGTGGCAGTCTCAAGACAGTTTTATTTTGTTTTTTGGCCATTTCGTCGATCATTTTAAAATCGTATTTGTATTTATGTCTATTGACTATACTTATCAATTCACCCTTGACCATTGTTTCATCAAAATCGATCTGTTTTAAGGCCAGCCATTGTTGTATGTTTGCTTTTTTAGTTGCCATTGTGGGAATTTTTTCTATTTTTCTAGAATGGTACGGGGCATTATCCAGTACAATAACAGCGTTATTCTCCAGCTTTAGTAACATTTTGGAGAACCAATTTTCAAAGGAATTGCCGTCCATCTCCTCATGATAGTCCCCTGTCTTTTTTGATTCAAAGGCCCACAGTGCTTCGGGAACAAAGCCGTCTTCACTACCTACGTGACAAATGATCAGCCGTTTGCCTTTTCCTGGAAATAAATTATTCCTTACACTATGGATTGATTAAATTTGAAGGAATGAGGCAATTGAGTTCATTTAGCTGAATTTAAGAGTCACGGAATGCTGATCAAAAACTGAAAAACGTAGAAAATTGAAGTTTGCAACTTCTCAAAACCCATTCAAAGCAAATTGACTGCACCCAAAAATGATAATAAATTTCAAAATAACGCTTAAAAGAGGGTCGAAGTTTTTTTCCTAATGACTACACTGCGAATGCACGATTTTTTGAGAATATCACACATTATCTGCTATCACAGCATATTATTTGCCCGAATTTATCAAAATTAAATTGCCGGATAGATGAAGGAGCTTACCTGCAGGATTTTTCAATCAAGCCGAAAGACCGTCTAGAAAAGCCTGCCTTGATGATGTTACTGATTTGTCGACCCAAACTTTCGCTTGAGTATGTCCACCATTCACCCACGTTTCGTCCAAATAGTAAATTTTTCTTTTTTCATCGCGAAACTTCCGAATCTTCCTAAGGTATTCCCTTCTCCACACAACAATTTCTTCTTTCTCTATTAACATACTGTTTCTTCCCCGTTTCAAGAATCGAAAATTAAGTTCCTTCAAAAGTTTTCGGAATGTGGTTCTTTTAAATGATGGAAGATCCTCATCAGCATTAACTAATCTTAATATCTTATCTACTGTAGGTATCTCATTTCGGAAGAAAACATTATGCACTTTCCTCCTGATGGCAGTTCTGTCAAAGTCATCTACTCCGTCCGTTATCCTTTTTCTTGCAGGATACGGTTTTGGCTCAGAAAGTGAGTGAGTGCTCCTATATTCCTTAATGATCCTATAAACACTGGACCGACATACTCCAGAAATATGTGCTACCTTACATATAACTTCGTCCACGACCAAATCGGGTTTTTCTTGAATTTGGTTTTTGTATATATTTAATATTATTTGTTTTTCATTTGCACTTAAATGTAGCTTCTTAGCCCTTTTTTTGGGTGGGGTTGCGCTGATGTCAACCACTTCGTCGGCTGTATCTGTGTCAGACATCGTATCTTAGGCAATATATAAACAAAACGTTCCACTCGCGAAAAACGAGTATACGCTACTGAATGCGTAATGCGTATGCAATGCAATCCTGTGCGTGAATTAACTGTTAGATGCCTGTCGTGTCATCTACAATCACGTTTACAAGTCCAAACCTGTGCAGATTCGTAGAGCGCCGACGACTGCTAGTGACCTTGAATTTGTCTGTAGATCGATGTTACTCCAGTCAATTTAGGTTCAAAGTGGATGTTTTCTAAACCAATTTGTTGTTCCTACATCAAAAATATATCGATGATGTTTTGTACTGGGAGCTCATGAAAGATCAAGGTAACTTATTTTAACAGTCATCCTTTTTCTAATCTCAAGATGACACGAAAAAGGGTCTGTGGATTCACTAGAAATACACTGCCGAGGATGTTTAGACCTAAAGTGACTGGAGTATATCCGTGGATGCTTTCGAGGGATCTGTTCACGTGCTGATCACTGTTTACGTTTAATGTCTTTCTTCAGCGCCCAGAGTTTAGTTTTTTGTTTTAGCCATTGTATAGAGCAGTATTTAAAACTCATCTCCCGGAGACCAGGGAAAGTATGATAACAAAAATAACTTCACTGGCATACGGATTCGTATGTCTAGCGGTAGCTTTCATGGCGAAATATTTGGGCAACGTACTTCAAGCATCCCTTACCATTTTTGGCGTCATAGGTGGACCACTGTTAGGACTCTTCTCTCTAGGAATGTTCACTACTACCGCCAATGAAGAGGTAAGGCAAAACTGATAATGATAAATCTCAATATATTCTGGCAACAAAAAATTAAGATAAACAACCCTCACCCTCAAGTTGTTTTACCTCTAAAATTTGAAGGAATAAGTTTTTATTTCCGTCTCCTGTATCTATGACCAACCGCAGACAGCGCTGTTTCGAGCTCACTAGCGACTCATCGGTGTAGTATTGGTCTTAGGTCTGGTCGCGGAAACAGACGAAACGGGAAGCAGACAAGTGACATGTTATGTTATTTCTTTAGGGCGCTGTTTTTGGTTTAACCACCGGGATAGTGTTATCACTGTGGATGGCATTCGGTAAACATCCACCTCCTGATACTTTGCCAAGGACTACTCAAGGCTGTGATATATTGAACAGAGCATACTCAAATCATTCTACGCATTTACATTCCGGAGACCAAAGGTAAGATTTTATAAAAAAATGTCTGATGCATCTAATCTTGGTAACAGTTGGCTCGATTTTTATTAGGCGACACTTCAATAATTTTGCTTTTTTGTTTGAGATTTATTTAGCATGATGCTACAATTACATTTATTTTAAAAACTATAAGAATTACATAACATACAGGTATTTAGAAAAACAAAATTTGCATCTCTGTTCACTGTCCTTGAAATATTTCTTTAATTTCACAAAATCTCACTCTTTTCATTTGATTTTAACTTTGATGTAATCAATATTCAGGGTCCGAAAAGCAAGAGAGAAGCGAAAAACATCGCACGCCCATGGATACCGGCGCGCCGACTTTGTCAAGTCGAAAAGACGGCATAGGCGTGCGATGTGTTTCGCTGATCTTTTCCTGTTCGATTTCCGAGTATAGTTGAAACGTGTAAGGACGTGTCGTTTTGAAAAATGAGATAATTTCGTTCAAATAACTACGGAAATGTACGGTTCCCTATCTCAAAAAAGTTTAACACGATTTCAAGCAACCAAAATTTCTTCGTCTCGCATTTAATCTGTCTCATACTACTTGTTTGTGAATTCAAATGTTGTTAGCAAAGTTTCTTAACTCTTCTTTCTGATTGCAGTGACTATTTTTGGCTGTACAGGGTATCATACCTCTACAATGGCGTGCTAGGGCTTGTATCAACTGTGCTCGTTGGCTATATCGCTAGCATTCTGATCGATAAGTGCCTCAGGCGACAGAAAAGGATTTACGATCCAAATCTCTTTGTTCCTCCATTGGAAAAGTGGATGCGGAAGAAATTACTAGAAAAACAAGGGAACCTCAACATGACTGAGTCGTCTGGATCGAGTGATGATTTGAAAAATGGCCTAAGGACTATTAGACAGTATTAAAACAAACCAGTTTGGTGAAATAGTGTAATATTTTATTGTTACTTGGCAGCACTCGTATATTTTACTGTGTAGATATCTGTAAAGCAAGGTCTTCGCTATTTGGTGGGTTCTTAACGAACGATAGTCTGATGTACTTAGCATAGCACTGCATTCTTTAATAGTATGTAACGTCAGAGACGACTAATAACTGCCAAGCTTAACGGCCTTGCTTAGTAGTTATTAACTATTTGGTCGGATTATTTATTTTGTACATTTTTATACTAAACAGACAGACGACTGATAATAAAAAATATTTATAGTCCTTATTTTACTGACTTTTGGTGCGAAGTGGTCGTATGATCAGCAACAGACTACTTGTCGTCGATTTGGAAACATTTTTTAAAATATTTGGCTGACGTTAGAAATGTTGGGTATTCAGCGAGAGTCTTTTGTATTTATTATAACAAAATATTGAACACGTACTTTTTGTTGCAAAACCACTAATGATTAGATTATACTTGGCTCGTTTGCACAATGTGGTGCAAGAAGGCAGTTTTCGAGCTACCTAATTTTACATATTGAGTACGCAAGAAGTATCTTTAAAAAAGATCTCACGATACGTGTTGCAAAAGCTATGAAAATGTTTATTAACTTGAGTTTAACATTTTTTGCAGCTCAGGGTATGTGATGAAGAAAAATCTGTAGTGTTAGGAATAGTCTTTGTCCATATGTCTTCCATTTGAAAAAAAAATGTTTTAATTCCTTGTTACGAGGGAAAATAAATTAGTTATATTTTTCTTTGTTTTTTTTTCTTGGACCCTATTCTACTACAGTCTTTGAAGCTGGATTCAGGAAAAACACTCAACCGAAACAGCAATACAAATGGTTTTAGAGGACGAAAATAGGAAACATACAGTGACAGTGTTTTTAAATTTAAAAATGCCGTTTGAAACTATTGACAGAAATTAATTACTTACAAAATTGTATCACTATGGATTTGAAGGACCTGTATTCAAAATTTCACAAAACTACTTGATTGACAGAAGTCAAAAACCAAAATTTTATCTACACTATCAAGCTCAAAAAATATTTCTGTTGGTGTACCACAAGGTAGTAAACTAGGTCCACTACTAATTATTTTATATATTAATCATATTGGCAAAATTTTAATTTATTCTAAAATTCAGATAATTGCAGATGATACATTAATATACAATATCAGATGAAAATTTAGACAGTGATTTAGAAATGCTATATTTTGACTGTTCAAAAATCATAAATTGGTTAAATATAATAAACTAAAATTGAATGCTTCTAAAACAAAATATATGCTAATAGGGAAATACCTATTAAAAAATCATATTTAGGATAAATGATGAAATAATTGAAAATGTTGAATCACTTAAGCATTTAGGAACATATATTGATAGTAATCTAAAGTTTGAGGATCACTATTTCAAAAAATGCAAAAAAAATAAAATTACTTTCATAGGGCTTCTCATAGTCTTAGTACACATTCAAAAAAAAATAGTTTACAATACAATTATTCTACCGCATTTACTATATTGTTCGACTACCTTGTTCACTGCGAATTAAGCTGTATTCTCAAAATTAGAAGTCCAGCAAAATAAAGCTATGTATTGGATTAAAATAAGTACACCCAAAATAAAATCTATGTTACAAGAATTGCAGTGGTTGAATATAAAAAAATTTACAAAATTTAGAACAAACACTACATAGACATGAATAATCATTACCACAATTATTAAACAAGAAGAAATATAAATTTGTATTTACAAAATTATAATAGCAATATAGCTAGCAAATCAATATTCCAGAAAAGATTTAATAAACTAAATATTTATATAAAGTCTACTTGTAATTTGAAGTTGTTTAAAAGAAAATTAAAGGAATATTCCATGAGCAGTGAAAATTCTTAGAGATGCAAATGTTGTTTTTCTAAATATCTGTATGTTATGTAATTGTTGTGGTTTGGTAAAAGAACGTAATTGTAGCAGTCATACTAAATAAATCTTAAACAAACAAGCAGCTGTGGAAGAGAGTATCGTAATCTATAAATCTATCATGCGCTATTGTTAATGTCTCTGAATACGACGAGATCTGCAGCATGTAGGTACACAATGGCAAAAATAAAATACAACCTTACAAGATCTCATAACTTTTATATTTTACTCTAATTTTACATTCATTTACACTTAACGATAAATAATAATTTACTTATGTTAATCAAGTTCACCTTTCCTTTGTGTAAAACTCTCAGTCAGCAGCTATAGAGTGTATACGACGCCGAGTGACTATAAACCTAAATTGCTTCAATTAATATACATATACATTATCTGGAATGTCGGGACTATAACAACTATATTAAGTATTTGCTGCCGCTTATAAGCTCATTACGGGAAACATATACAATAAGTAACTAGACATTTGTTAAATGGAAGCTGTATATTGAGAGAAGTTTATATACAATGCTCCAGCTAACTTTTACGGCCATGTCGTCACGTATTCCTACAATTAAAATAAAGATTTTTACTGTTCCGTGTCAGCGCTCCGATTTGAGGTTATGTTACAAATATCTATTTGCATCTAATTGTTCATGCTTTTAATCTATGTCATCTGTCGTATCAGCCTGAAATGTTCTGCAATTCAAAAAGAAAACATAACCTTACAATAGGAGAGAGCACGGAACACTAGAAATCCAGAAATATCCCAACCTTTCTGTTGGAGAGAAAATACTATGAAAATCAATCCTGGGATTATAGGAACGACTGACAATACGGTCTGAAATCTTTCCAGGTGCCGAGGGTGTTGCCTTTAAACAACAGTAATGTTCTATCATCGAATTTCCAATGGTTTGACTTGACTGAGCATGCGCAATGAAGAAACCATGTTCAAGCAATGCACAAACCTAGTTAGCGATTATCCAATGCTTGGTTTGAAAACTGGTCGAAACAGTACACAGGATTTTGACGGCACACGAAGTTTCTGACATGCGCAGATTGCACAAGATTTTGTTTTGTTATGGGTGGCTTATGATTGAGGTTATGGTTTTTGAATTGCGTTTGCGACTTTCTTAGTTTCATCTGCAACACTGAATAGTTTGTATTATTTAAAAAGATCGAAGCCATCTGGCTGGTTGTTATAAAATTTGATGTGTACTAGTTCTTTGTTGTGTATCGCTCATAGAAATGTTAAATTTTCGTAGTTCAAGTTCGGAATCCGATTGGATCACAGATATCGATTTGAGTGATCATTTCATAATCTAAAAAAAGAGCATTACATAAATGTAACTTGGAAGTGAATTCATGGGACATTCTAAAGTGACTCACACAGTGGCTGAAGATATCTCATCTGAATACGAACACAGCATGTTTTAAAAAAGACGACTGGAGGTAGACATTCATCCTTTTATTGTTTTTGGTTTTGAACTTTTAATCAAGTTCTTATAGTATATCTGGCACTGTAGTTCAATAGCCTAACGATGAGGAAACAGAATTTCATCTAAATGCCAAATACGTTGCTAACACTGTCAACTCCAACGTATTTTAACAAAATATGTGGTCTAGCAGAATCAAATTTGAAAGCGTTAGAAACTTGTGCGTTGGAGCTTACAATCGGTTGTCAAACTGTTGGAAATATGATGCAAGAACATAACGAAACATAATTCTCCATAGAACAGATACTGTTTTTATTCAAGCGATATTATTGAGGTGCTTTGAAAAAATTACACTGTCTGCGGAAATATTTTCGCACTACCCTCGTACAAGGAAGAACGAGTTTCGCCGCTATCATGATTTAGAACTAATTATTGTAGCGTATTAAAAATATCGCGTGACTTCTACCGCAATGCAAATATTATAAGTGCGTTGACGTTTTTACTGTCAAGCATCCTAAAAAATAATTATCTGTCATCGGAAAGTCAATCAATAGCACTTTCAGATGCATCTTATCGAAATTCCCACCAAACAACAAACAATTGGCTTCGAACAAAGTTTCGACGAGATTGTACGTTTCAGTATCAAAATGGAAGAGAGTAGCATAACTCATCGTACCAGTGGCGTACGGTGCATTATGCTACTTTCTTCCATTTTGGTACTTGATGATAGAACATGTACACAGAAACAGACACTGAAATAAATAGATATCTATCTATCCAACAACAAAGATATTCTATTAAATGCGTAACCAGAAAAGTGTATGCTAAATATACTTTTGGGAGAACAGTGAATTTTATCTCTTCCGAGTACGTCAGCATATTGAGCACAATAAATGACATTTTTCGTTACTAATAACTGTAACATATGGATAAGCAACCTTTCTGGTGCGTCATACGTAATCAGAAGTTTCCTCTTAGTTAGAATATAGGTCCTAGTTACGCCCTTATTATCTAGAAGCAAAAAATGTCACAGCACTTTCTTTGAATCAAACTAACGCTTTATGGGCTCCATAAAAATACACCTTAACCTAAATTGTTTTCTTAAATCTAGTGACTAGAGTTCGACTCGGTGGATTTTTTTGTAAAAATCCTTATAATGGATAAAGTAACAAGATGAAATTATAAATATTTAGGACTAATCAACAAATAAATAGAAATCTGAAAATTCCGTTTTCAAAAATGAACGACACAAGTAAAGCAAAAAGGTTTTAACCCAACAAATTTCCACAAAATATGCAAAGTACCAATGTACTTGCCCAATGACTTCCAAAAAACACTGTCTTATTAGTTATTTGAAAAAAATGATCAATTCATATTGAAAATGGAATCGTTAAACATACACAACAATAAATACATATACACGTAACATTTACTTAAAGAATGACTAGAAGATTTTCTTTGGTGATCCTAGCTGTATGACATACAATGACAGTCAGTTTGAGACTAATTTACAATTATGATATGTATAAAATCATAAAACGCATCACAACGAAACTGGTAAGCAATGTGATTGTTAGGATTGAAAACGTGTTGTAATCGATAGTAGAGATGAAATACCCTTACACCTTACTATGTCACAGATACTTTGATTCAAGCTAAATACTTTTTCGGTTACCAAAGTTGTGTTGTATTCAAGCAACTAATTTTGTAAAATGGATCAAGAAAAGCATACATGTATGCATTGTGTGTTGCTGCTTAGATATAAATCATACAAAGTATTCGACTAATATTTATTCTATATTCAATTTCTGATTACTATCCAAGCTTTCTTATATATCGTGAGGCTTCCAGCTTTATTTTAATACATATGTAGATATTCTACTAAATTATACAAATACGTAAGAATGAGTTTATTATGTAGGTAAGTAAGGCATAGTGGTATTGCTGCAGGATATAAGTATCTATCGGATAAATAATAAAATTTTCTTATTCTTACTGTATGGCTACAGTATATTCAGATAAGAGATAGACCGGATGTAAACAAAAGGTTCGGGTGATTTTCACGCTAACGCCGCCGTCTCGACGTAAAACAGGAGCCGTCATTGGTCGATTCGCAATTAAAAGCCTATGCCGAGCGGCAGAGCAGTCGTATCAAGGCAGAGTCACATTCAGGTTCAGACGTGTTACGTATGTCGTGTGCATCATTGCAATTTGATATTTCTTTGGACGTTTTCGTTTGTTATCTTATTAAATTGTTGAGTTTGTCGTTGTTATTGTTATACCTTGTTACTGATTGTTATTGTTATCAACTGCTTGCGCAAAATGCCCAGTAGTACAGATACTGCCGATGAACTTGTAAACTCCTGTAGTCCACCTAGGAAACGCTCTAAAAAAAGACA